ATATGATAAGCCTACAGCAAACATTATTCTCAAGGGTGAAAAACTGAAAGCATTCCCCCTAAGATCAGGAACAAGACAAGGGTGTCCACTTTCACCACTATTATTCAACATAGTTCTGAAAGTCCTAGCTACAGCAATCAGAGAAGAAAAGAAGTAAAAGGAATCCAGATCAGAAAAGAAGTAAGGCTCTCACTGTTTGCTGGTGATACTGCACATAGAAAACCCTAAAGATAGTATCAGAAAATTATTAGAGCTAATCAGTGAATTTAGCAAAGTTGCAGGATACAAAGTCATTACACAGAAACCACTTGCATTTCTATATACTAACAATGAAAAATCAGAAAGAGAAATTAAGGAATCAATCCCATTCACCATTGCAACAAAAAGAATTAAATATCTAGGAATAAACTTACCTAAGGAGACAAAAGAACTGTACACAGAAAATTATAAGACATTAATGAAAGAAATCAAAGATGACATAAACAGATGGAGAGATATTCCATGTTCGTGGGTAGGAAGAATCAATATTGTAAAAATGATTATACTACCAAATGCAATCTATAGTTTCAATGTGATGCCTATCAAATTACCAATGGCATTTTTCACAGAACTACAACAAAAACTTTCACAATTCGTATGGAAACACAAAAGACCCTGAATAGCCAAAGCAGTCTTGAGAAAGAAGAATGGAGCTGGAGGAATCAACCTTCTTGTCTTCAGATTATACTACAAAGTTACAGACATCAAGATGGTATGGTACTGGCACAAAAACAGAAATATAGACCAATGGAACAAGATAGAAAGCCCAGAAATAAACCCATGCACTTATGGGTACTTTATTTTTTATAAAGGAGGTAAGAATATACAATGGGGCAAAGACAGGCTCTTCAATAAATGGTGCTGGGAAAACTGGTCAGCTACATGTAAAAGAACGAAATTAGAACACTTCCTAACACCATACACAAAGATAAACTCAAAATGGATTAAAGACCGAAATGTAAGACCAGAAACTATAAAACTCATAGAGGAACACATAGGCAGAACACTATATGACATAAATCAAAGCAAGATCCTTTATGACTCACCTCTTAGAGTAACAGAAATAAAACAAAAGTAAACAAGTGGGACCTGATTAAACTTAAAAGTTTTTGCACAGCAAAGGAAAATATAAGCCAAGTGAAAAGATAACCCTCAGAATGGGAGAAAATAATAGCAAATGATACTGCTGACAAAGGATTAATTTCCAAAATATGCAAACAGCTAATACAACTCAATAAAAGAAAAACAACCCAATAGAATAGTGGGGAAAAAACCTAAACAGACATTTTTCCAAAGAAGACATACAGATGGCTAACAAACACAAGAAAAGATGCTCAACATCGCTCATTATTAGAGAAATGCAAATCAAAATGACAATGAGATATCACTGTACACTGGTCAGAATGGCCATCATCAAAAAGTCTACAAACAATAAATGCTGGAGAGGGTGTGGAGAAAAGGGAATGCTCTTACACTGTTGGTGGGAATGTAAATTAATTCAGCCACAATGGAAGATGGTATGGTGATTCCTTAAAAAACTAGGAATAAAACCACCATGCTGCTGCTAAGTCACTTCAGTTGTGTCCCACTCTGTGTGACCCCATAGAGGGCAGCCAACGAGGCTCCCCTGTCCTTGGGATTCTCCAGGCAAGAACACTGGAATGGGTTGCCATTTCCTTCTCCAATGCATGAAATGAAAGTGAAAGTGAAGTTGCTCAGTCCTGTCCGACTCTTTGCGACCCCATGGACTGTAGCCCACCAGGCTCCTCCATCCATGTGATTCTCCAGGCAAGAGTACTGGATGAAAGTTAAAAGTGAAAGTGAAGTTGCTCAGTCCTGTCCGACTCTTAGCGACTCCATGGACTACAGCCTACCAGGCTCCTCTATCCGTGGGATTTCCCAGGCAAGAGTACTGGAGTGGATTGCCATTGCCTTCTCCAGAACCACCATATGACCCAGCCAACCCCACTCCTAGGCATATATCCTGAGGAAACCAAAATTGAAAAAGACACATGTATCCCACTGTTCATTTCAGCACTATTTGCAATAGCTACAACATGGAAGCAACCTAGATGTGCATTGACAGATGAATGGATAAAGAAGTTGTGGTACATACACACAATGGAATATTACTCAGACGTAAAAAGGAAGGCATTTGAGTCAGTTCTGATGAGATGGATGAACCTAGAACCTATTATACAGAGTGAAGTGAGTCAGAATGAGAAAGATAAATATTGTATTCTAATGCATATATACATAATCTAGAAAAATGGTACTGAAGAATTTATTTGCAGGGCAGCAGTGGAGAAACAGACATAGAGAATAGACTTATGCACATGGGGAGAGAGGAGAAGAGGGTGAGATGTGTGGAAAGAGTAACATGGAAACTTGCATTACCATATGTAAAATAGACAGACACCGGAATTTGCTGTATATCTCAGGAAACTCAATCATATCTTCCGTATCAATCTAGAGGGGTGGGATGGGGTGAGAGATTGGAGGGAGGCTCAAAAGGGAGGGGATATATGTATACCTATGGCTGGTTCATGTTGAGGTTGGACAGAAAACAGCAAAATTTTGTAAAGCAATTATCCTTCAATAAAAAACAAAACAAAACCCCCCAAATCTCTACCACACTAAAACAAAACCAACAACTTATTTTACGTCATGTAAAGCAAAGGACTGACATTAAGATATGTGACAATGCATATAGCCAGCGTGTCTTCTATAGGTAGTTTCAGCAGCAATGGGAAATATGGCACAATTCAGTTCCAGCTTTTAAAACACAACAGCAAAAAACTCTCTGCCTCCCTACAAGATGCAGGGTGAGGGGATGGTTCTGGGTTGCCATTGGTGAAGCATTCAGTTTGCTACTTTGTGTCACACTTCTCATTCTTTTATTCCCAGTTAATTACTATCTGCATATAATATAAGGCTGCTAGACCATAAACTAGCAGGTTTCAGGACAGATACCTTAAATGGTTAAGGAGGGTGAACAAAGTGAAAAAGTTGGCTTAAAACTCAGTATTCAAAAAATTAACATCATGGCACCCGGTCCCATCACTTCATGGCAAATAGAAGGGGAAGAAGTAGAAGCAGTGACAGATTTTATTTTTGAGGGGGGGGGTGCCACAATTACTGGGGATGGTGACTGCAGCCATGAGATTAAAAGACACTTTTTCCTTGAAAAAAAAAAAACTATGACAAACCTAGACAGCATATTAAGAAGTAGAAACATCACTTTTCCAACCAAGGTCCATATAGTCAAAGCTTTGGTTTTTCCAGTAGTCATGCATGGATGTGAAAGTTGGACCGTAAAGAAGGCTGAGTACTGAAGAGTTGATGATTTTGAATTGTAGTGCTGAGTAAGACTCTTGAGAGTCCTTTGGACTGCAAGGAGATCAAACCAGCTAATCCTAAAGGAAATCAACCCTGAATAATTCATTGGAAGGACTGATGCTGGAGCTCCAATACTTTGGCTATCTCATGTGAAAAGCTGACTCATTGGAAAAAACCCTGATGCTGGGAAAGATCGAAGTCAAAAGGAGAGGGGGGCGACAGAGGATGAGATGGCTATATAGCATCACTGACTCAAGGGACAAGAATTTGAGCAAATTCCGGGAGATAGTGGGCTTCCCAGGTGGCACTAGTGGTAAAGAACCTGCCTGCCAATGCAGGAGACATAGGAGATGCAGGTTCAGTCCCTGGGTCAGGAAGATCCCCTGGAGAAGGAAATGGCAACCCACTCGAATATTGTTGCCTGGTAAATTCCATGGACAGAGGAGCCTGGAGGGCTATAGTCCATGGGGTTGCAAAGGGTCAGACATGACGGAAGGGAAACTTAGCATGCAAAGCATGTATGCACAGGAGATAGTGGACAGAGGAGACTGGTCTGCCATAGTCCATGGGGCTGCAGAGTTGAACATGACTTAGTGACTGAACAACAACAAACAAAGAAATGAATAATGTTCTCGGCAGAACACTCAGGGAGAGAAACTGAGTCATTTTCATTGAAAGGAAAAACAGGAGAGTTTTTTTATGCTTTGAAGGTGAACTAGTGGAAAAGCCCCGGGGGACAATTGAGTAGAAGTTGATCACTGTGATTAGGCCATTTTTGTTTACTAATTGGCACTTTTTGAAATTAGGCTACCTTCTCTTAGAGTCTAGGAGATAGATGTACTATCTTTCTCAATGATTGTATTTCAAGTGGTTCTCAGATCATTGAGAAAGACATTCCTGGGTTATAAAACTGGCAAGAGGCTGGGAGAAGATAGCTCAAAGGGGCAGAGAAAAAAAAAAATTTCAAGTATCTTACAGTACCCTTAAGAGTATTTAACTTGGCCAGGGGCCTAAGTTCAGGAAGGAATCTAAGTGTTCGCCAAGCTAAAGAGAACTTTAGGGTTTTCTTGGTCACATTATAAGTTGTTAGATTTTTTTTTTTTAAGTTGTTAGATTTTAATTGTTGATAATTTTAAGACTAAGTTTTCAGTCTTTAGAGAGCTGGGGTTATTAAGTTTATATGGCAAATTATTTGTATTTCAGGAAGATTATTTTGAACCTCTGTAGATAGCGAGCTTATGTGGAATAGTCCCCTTTTTGTCTTTGATGATAATATTAAACTCTCTACTGTTTTAGGAGCTACTGTTTTTAGACTGTATGGAAAGTTTTTCTCCCTTCAATTTTATCTTCCGTATCACTGCAAAGATTTTTTTTTCCTAAATGAGAAATTTGATGTCACAGGTTTTCTTATGATCCTTTCACTTCAAGTTTAGGGTAAAATCCAAATTCCAGCATGACATACAAGGTTCTTGTTTTTCACATAAACCTTATCTAGTTTTTCAACCTTTTCTTTCATCTTTTAGTTTCTATTGCCCTTTAGTTTTCAAAGATTCATGCATCTTCCTCAGTCTAAATTGCTCTCATCTCCTCCTTTGTTAAGACAGCTTTCTTTTTTTTCCCACCTGACATGACTGAAATCTGCCCTGGCACCTGTCAAGTTGTGTTAATTTTCTTTCTCCTTGACTAGACTTTGAGCTCCTTGAAGGCAGGGAAGTCATTTTATCTTTTTTCGGTTGTTAAGTAGAGTGCCTGACATTAATATATACCTTTGTTGAACAAACAAATGAATGAACAAGGGTAATTAATTCCTCTATGAGCAAGGCAGCTGTTATGTGACTGATTTATTGTTAATAAAATAAAGGAATTTTTTTGCTGTTTACTGATAATTTTGTAACTTTGTTCTTGCTGCTCAAATAAAAAAAAGCACTTAAATACCCATAGTTAGTTAAATTAAAACATTATTCATTGTTTTTCTTGGTTGAAAAAAATGGGTTAAGAAAGTAAATATATTGACAAGTCAGTATGTCTAATTTTGGTAAAAAAGTGAAAAATGTGGTATCTATAGTTCATGAATTTCTTTTAATAGATAAGCTGTTCTGTGGATAGAAAAACTTTAGAAAGATTAGAGAATGTCCAATTCAAATGAAGCAATGTGCAGTCTGTTTAGTTAAAAAAAAACAAAACAGGTGGATTATCTGGCCTGCTGATGGCTTTGTGTTGATGACACTTATTTTTACTCAGAAGAAAATAGACGAGGAAACTACTTATTGAATAAATTTTCTATTTTTATCAACCTCCTCAGTGTCTGTTCTCAGTATGGTGCTGGTATTTAAAAAACAAAAACAAGAATTAGAGAGCATCAAGGGAAGGTCACCTTGTCTTAAACATCCGCTGCATTTCTTAGATGGCATAAAACCTTTAGTGTGCCATTTCAGAGCTCACTTCCAATTATATCTTATGTTTATTTGTGTATTTTCTTGTGTTCTTATATTGACATTTATTTCAGAACGACTTGTCCATTTAATTTGCATTCATGGCATTGGAAAGCTATTTTTGTTCCCCTGAAATTGTTGGTGTGTAAGAAAAATTTATCTTTTGTTCTCTAAAGCCTTTACAAAATTTTGGTAGATTTAAGTAAGCATGCTACTTATTAATTTATGAAATAAACAAATATTTTTTGTAGATATAGTTCTTGTGCACTTTGGACTTATAGTAAAAAAGAGAAACAGACTTTGGTTTACAGCACAGCCTAGTCATAGTAATGACACAGAATTTCTGAGAATTGAAAATACTTTCATGTTTCAATGCCTTTGCTAAAGCTATTTTTCCGTGGCTAGTTTAGAATACGTTTTCCCCTCCTACTCTGACTAATTAAAACGTTTAAGGTTCTAACCAAAGCAGATCTAAGATGTGCAGCTTCTCACCACCTCTTTCTGCACAAGAAGAATGATTAGCTCTTCTTACATTCTCCCCAAACATCTTGTACAAGTCTGTAATACTACTCAATTTTAATTACCATTTCATGTCCTCCATTAAATCATGGACACCTTGAGAGCAACTGCCTCTTTCTTTCTCCCTTTTTCTCTTTTCCTTCTTCCTTTCTTTCTTTTCCCTTTCTATTAGTTTTTTTTTTTTTGTCTTTAATCACACAGTTTAAAAGTCAGACATAGCATTGAAATTTGTGTATTACCATATGCTTGTAGATGACCAGGGCAAGTTCGATGCCTGAAGCAGGGAACCCAAAGCCAGTGCTCTGGGACAACCCAGAGGCATAGAGTGGGGAGGGAGGTGGGCTCAGGATGAGGGGACACATGTATACCCATGGCCGATTCATGTGGTTTTATGGTAAAAACCATCACAATATTGTAAAATAATTATTCTCCAATTAAAGTAAGTAAATTAATTGAAGAAAAGCCCTCTAGTATTTAAAAAAAAAGTCAAATAGTGAATCAAGGTTTACATCAAAAAAGAACACACTCCCCTATCTTCTTATTCCCCAACCACTTTCATAGGTGAACCATTTTATTTTGATTATTTTATCTGAATAAGTTTACATTATTACTTCATTTTTCAGTTTTAGGCATCATCTATTTACACCCTCCTTTGAAAGATGATAGCTATTTAAATGAAGAATTTAGCTTTTTAAAATATACCCTTAGCACACACACTCACTAGTGTGTACATATACTTTCATGCACTTCTTTTCCCTCATCATCTCCATAGAGCTATATAGTAATTATGATTAGTTCAAAATTTGGTACTGTTATGATTTTGTACATGCTATTGAAAGATGAGCCATGTAGTAGACATGATTTCACAAACTTTTGTTTTCCTTGAGGTTAATAATTGTCTTTTTTTGTTTTATTTTCTTTGTGCTTATAAATTTATTCCCTCTAAATATGTTCAAACATATCAGGTATTCCATCTATTTTTTTTTTTTTTTCCCGGCAGAAAGCTTTGTTGTTTCCATTTGGTCCAAGGCTTGGGAGAGGGCTCCAGGGTGGTTAAGAAAGAAGCCCCCTAGTGCCTGCAAAGAGAGGCTCCAGGCAGAAGCCTTGACACCAGAGGGGCTCCTCAAAGGCCACTGGGCTTCAGAGGCTCCTAGTTGTGCTTGAGGGTGAGACTTTTGAGAAGATATTCACCCAACCTAGCCTGCAGAGGTTGGTCAGGTGGTCACATATCTTCCTGATGAATTTTACCTGCTGCTCTAGGAAGCCACTCTCCAGGAAGTCAGAGCTGGGAGTCTGCATACCTAAGGCAGGAGATCCAAAAGGGCCTGGGGCAGGTTCTCCTCCATGAGATGGGTGGCTTTCGCACATGAGCTTTAATCCACATCTTGAAACAGCTTCTGCAAATCCTAGAAGAGAGTGTGGCTTCCACACTGGTTTTGCATTTTCAAGAGACGCTCCTGGCTTTTGGGCCTCTACTCAGCCAGTTTGCTGGAAAAATGACCCATGCCCTGGGTTGGGAAGATCCCCTGGAGAAGGGAACAGCTACCTACTCCAGTATTCTGGCCTGGATAATTCCATGTACAGAGGAGTCCATGGCGGTTGCAAAGAGTTGGACACAACTGAGTGCTTTCACTTCACTTCACTCCAGAGCCCCATCGTTGAGGTGGAAATAGAAGCCTGGAGAGAGGTAGGTGTAGGAAGCCTGCAGATGTATGTCGACAGCAGCCTCCATCTTGTTGGAGTAATTCTGACTAATCTGGGAACTCATGGTTGATTGGTTATAAGGAATTAAATTCAAAAAATGTTGTTGGCTGATCCCCCTGATCCAGGATATGTGAGTGGCTGATTCTAAAGGTTGCAACTGGAAAAAATGTTGGTGGGTGGTCCAAGGCTGGAGTAAAGTGCTGTCCATGGGTCTGTTCTGCCCAAACACTGTTGAAGCAAGAGAGAAATCCACAAGACCAACCAGCACACTGCTATTTCATCTTCTTAAGAAGATGCACACAAAGGGATAAAAATGTACCCCATCTTCACATGTGCAAGTTTCAGTCCTGCTCAGTTCAGTTGCTCTGTTGTGTCTGACTCACTGTGACCCCATGGACTGCAGCACACCAGGCTTCCCTGTCCAACACCAACTCCTGGAGCTTACTCAAACTCATGTCCATCGAGTCGGTGATGCCTTCAACGATCACATCCTCTGTTGTCCCCTTCTCCTCCTGCCTTCAATCTTTCCCAGCATCAGGGTCTTTTCAAATGAGTCATTTCTTCACATCAGGTGGCCAAAGTATTGGAGTTTCAGCTTCAGCATCAGTCCTTCCAATGAATGTTCAGGACTGATTTCCTTTAGGATGGACTGGTTGGATCTCCTTGTAGTCCAAGAGACTCTCAAGAGTGTTCTCCAACACCACAATTCAAAACCATCAATTCTTCGGCACTCAGCTTTCTTTATAGTTCAACTCTCTCATCCATACATGATTACTGGAAAAATCATAGCTTTGACTAGATGGACCTTTGTTGACAAAGTAATGTCTCTGCTTTTTAATATGCTGTCTAGGTTGGTCATAACTTTCCTTCCAAGGAGCATGCATCTTTTAATTTCATGGCTGCAGTTACCATCTGCAGTGATTTTGGAGCTCCCCAAAATAAAGTCTGCCACTGTTTCCACTGTTTTCCCATATTTGCCATGAAGTGATGGGACTGGATGCTATGATCTTAGTTTTCTGCCTGTTGAGTTTTAAGCCAACTTTTTCACTCTCCTCATTCACTTTCATCAAGAGGTTTTTTAGGTCCTCTTCACTTTCTGCCATAAAGGTGTTTTCATCTGCATATCTGAGGTTATTGATATTTCTCTCGGCAATCTTGATTCTAGCTTGTGCTTCCTCCAGCCCAGTGTTTCTTATGATGTACTCTGCATATAAGTTAAATAAGCAGGGTGACAATATACAGCCTTGACGTACTCCTTTCCTGATTTGGAACCAGTCTGTTGTTTCATGTCCTGTTCTAACTATTGCTTCCTGACCTGCATACAGGTTTCTCAAGAGGCAGGTCAGGTGGTCTGGTATTCCCATCTCTTTAAGAATTTTTCACAGTTTGTTGTGATCCACATAGTCAAAGGCTTTGGTGTAGTCAATAAAGCAGAAATAGATGCTTTTCTGGAACTCTCTTGTCTTTTCTATGATTCAGCAGATGTTGGCAATTTGATCTCTGGTTCCTCTGCCTTTTCTAAATCCAGTTTAGAATTTCATGGTTCACATACTGTTGAAACCTGGCTTGGAAAATTTTGAGCATTACTTTGCTAGTGTGTGAGATGAGTGCAATTGTGTGGTAGTTTGAGCATTCTTTGGCATTGCCTTTCTTTGGGATTGGAATGGAAACTGACTTTTTCCAGTCCTGTGGCCACTGCTGGGTTTTCCAAATTTGCTGGCATGTTGAGTGCAGCACTTTCACAGCATCATCTTTTAGGATTTGAAATAGCTCAACTGGAATTCCATCACCTCCACTAGCTTTGTTCGTAGTGATGATTTCTAAGGCCCACTTGACTTCCTATTTTAGGATGTCTGGCTCTAGGTGAGTGATCCCATCTTCGTGGTTATCTGGGTCATGAATATCTTTTTTGTACAGTTCTCTGTGTATTCTTGCCACCTCTCAATATCTTCTGCTTCTGTTAGGTCCATACCATTTCTGTCCTTTATCGAACCCATCTTTGCATGAAATGTTCCCTTCTTACTCTAGTTTTCTTGAAGCGATCTTTAGTCTTTCCCCTTCTA